AGGTTGTTTCCTAATTTTCTGAGAAATTGCCACACTGACATCCAAAGGGGCTGTACCAGCTTGCATTCCCACCAGCAATGCAGAAGTGTTCCCTTTTCCCCACATCCTCTCCAGCATAAGTTGTCATCAGTGTTTTTGATTTTGGCCATTGACAAGGCTTTTCTCAATTGTGGGTAGCTACAACTTCCCACAATTTCTTTTGTTGTTGTTTTTCTTTATTTGTTTGCTTTTTCAAGACTGTAGCTTTGGAGCCTGTCCTGGAACTTCCTCTGTAGACCAGGTTGGCCTTGAACTCACAGAGAATACCTTCCTCTACCTCCAAAGTACTGGTACTAAAGGCCTGGGCCATCACACCCAGCTACAATTCCCCATTTCTTCTGAGAGCTCTTGAACAAGATGGGCATCTTTCACTTTTTTTTTTTAAGATAAGTTCTTGTATAGCCCAATTTGGCCTTAAACTATAAAGCTGAGGATGACTTTGAACTTCCAATCCTATCTCCTGAGTGCTGGGATTATAGTATTGCCATGCCCAGTTATGTAGTGATGGATAGAACCCAACGCTTCATGCATGTCAGGCCATCACTCTCTCTACCAACCAAGCTATACCCCAGTCTGGGAGAGAGTGGTTCCCGTTTTGATTTTTTTTTCCATTTTATTTTTTTGTTTTGCTTTTCAAGACAGGGTTTCTCTGTAGCTTTGGAGCCTGTCCTAGAACTAGCTCTTGTAGACCAGGCTGGCCTTGAACTCACAGAGATCCGCCTGCCTCTACCTCCCGGGTATTGGGATTAAAGGCGTGTGCCACCACCGCCCAGCCCCCATTTTGATTTTTTTGAGACAGGGTCTCACTGTGTAGGAGAGGCTGACCTTGCCTCTTCCTCCCGGAGTGCTGGTCTTAAAAGGCCTGCTCCACCACACTAAGCTGTTTGGTTTTGTTTTGACATGGTTTCACTATGTAGTCCAGACTGGCCTATAACTCATAATCCTCCCGTCTCTGTTCCTGAATAATGAATGGGATTACAGGCCTGAGCCAACATGCTTGAGTTGGCATTTTTTCATTTTGTTTTGTTTGTTGGTTGGTTTTTCTGGGGACAGGTGTTAAGTAGGAGTGTAGCCCCCAGGTCCTGGCATCCATTCCAGCCAACCTGGCCTGGGAGTTGCATTGCTCTGGACTTCAAATCCCAGTATGCCAGGTCTTGACCCCTCCCCAGGGGAGGGTCAGGACTACTCCCACAGCTCCCAGAGGAGAAACACTTGGTTTTGGGTCTGCATAGGCTCCCTGCTGTCCTGTCTCCCCGCCATGCGCTCGGCCACCTTGATAAAAGAATGGGCATTTTGATTGGGTTTGATTTGACCTAATTGGATTTCTTGTGCCAACGGAGCTGCCCTCTTTTTATTATTTTTTCTTAATAACAACAGGGTTTCTCTGTGTAGCTCTGGCCGTCCTGGAATTAGCTCTGTAGACCAGGCTGACCTTGAACTCAGAGATCCGTCTGCCTCTGTCTCCCAAGTGTTGGCATTACAGGCCTGAGCCAACGTGTTCGAGTTGGCATCTTTATTTCTCATGCATCCTCTGTTTCCGGCAGTTTAACAATCTTGCCCATTCACCACAGACCCTGCTGACTGGCTCATTGCCAAGAGCGAATAAGAATGCGGGGTGTGAGAAGAAAGTCAGGCAAGGAAATGGGCGGAGGCTCAAACCGCAAAGACAACCACAAAAGTCTCTGTGTGTATGCGAGGCCAATATAAGTAATGTGCATACCATTCACATTCTGTCGGTTCAGGTTATCAGGATCCTGAGGAGGAAGAAAGGCGTGCAAAGTAACTAGCTGACCCAATGCTGGAGATGAAACACTTTAATCTACCACTGGCTCGTAACACTGCACAGGGAGTCACAGCTCCCAGGTTCCTTCCAGGTCAAAGGAAGTTCCAGAAATACTTAGTTGCTGGTCCCTTGCCTGTGAAAACAGGGTAAGTAGAGGAGAAGGGCAGGTGCCCTCCTGTCACTCATAGATCCAGTTTTGTGCACAGCTCTTGTAATCCACCAGTTCCTCAGGCTGAAACCACAAGCTGATCTCCTTCTCCGCACTCTCCACAGAATCGCTGCCGTGAATGATGTTCCTGGGTGGGGAGAGAGACAGCATCATTACCAAAACCCAAAAGATGACCCTGCCCACAGTGCCCTGCATGCCCACTGCTGAGATCG